GGCAAACCCGTCCCCAGATGTAGGATGCGGTCCACGCTGGAGGCTCCTGGCCTCTCCCCGGCCGCCAAAACCAGCTCACGTTCCCCGTGGGAAGGTGCTCCCCCAGCACGGCACCCATAAATCACCACCCCTGGCCCCAGGCAGAGCCTTCACTGCCTCTTGGCTTCGGAAGCGGGGGATAAATCCTTGGTATTTTCCATGCATTTCTCCTGCCCGGTGCCCAAGGGAGGATTTGTGCTGTGTATCCGGCTTCTCAGGCCACCCCATTCATTCCCGGTGGGGAAGAGGAGGGAGAGGAGAACCTTGGAGCACCCAGCTCTGCCCCGGGGTGGGATTTCAGGCACCCGGATGCGGGATGCGGAGCCAAACCCCCCTAAGGGAGAGCAGGTTGGAGCTGGGATGCTGGCTTGGGGAGAAAATACCCAAATACCTGGCGTGGGGAGGTCGGGAGCACAAGTGTGACTTTATTCCGATGCCGTACCATTTACCCGGCCTCAGAAGCACCGAGGGCTTCAACATTTACCTGAAATTTGCTGAAGCCGCAGCTCTCGTTTCCCCAGGTTCGGCAGCAAAGCCGGATGAGGATGTCCCACCATGTCCCCCTGCCCCGTCCCCATCACCAGCTCCTTGTTCCCAGAGTTTCCGCCCTTCAGTGCACTGGTTTCCAGCTGGGTCCCAGTTCAGTCTGACAAATGGTTCCTGCAGGCACCATCGGGATGGGGCTGGCGTTGAGCATCCCTGGGGATAGGTGACCTGGTCCTGAGCTCCAGGCCGTGCTCCACCAAGGCTTTCTCAGGAGGCTTCAGACAGCCCCATCCAGGACCTGCCCAGCAAATCCCGGGGCAGAAGAGGGTTTATGTCTGGGGACGGGCAGAGCCAGGGGACTGGGAAGGTGCCTGGGGGCCACTGCCAGAGTTTGCAGGAGCCTCCAGGCTTGGGGGGTGCCCCACGGACCCCTCTGCAGAGACCGAGGAGGAGGATAAAGCTCAGCCCTGGGCAGCCCGGAGCAGCACGGAGCAGCCCTGGCAGGTTGGGACCATCTCCCACCATGGGACCCCCAGTGCAGCCTTGGTGCCGGAGGGGCCGTGGGGCTAATCCGGGATAATCCCGTCTTTGGCTGCTCTCCACCGGGAAGCCCTGGGGTTTGTTTACCCATCAGGACTTTTATTTTCCAGTCACTCCAGCACCAACACCCTGGGGCTGGTGCCATCCCCACGCCGCAGAGTGGAAGGTCATGGACCACTGCTGTGGTGGGCAGCCAGGATGGGGCCCATGAGAGCCCGGGGAGGAGGGGGACCATGGTGGCTCCTTCCTGAGGTCATGGGGCTATGACCTGGGGGGATTTGTACCCTGTCCCCATCCCCTGGGTAGATCTGGAGGGGCAGAAAAGGAGCTGGAGCCCTGTGGAAGCCCTAGGGTGCCCAGCCAGCACCCACCACCCTCCACCATCCAATTCAGGGCCGTGCCCACGCTTGGTGCCCACATCACCCGGGGCAAAAGTCACCAAAAAAGCTGCCCATGCCTGGGTGAGCGGCGGCAGCAGTCGCAGCAGCACAGGAGGGGTTAAGGAGCAGCCAGCAGGGACCCAGCATCATCTCAGTGTGGTTTCCTTCAGATGCCCAGATCAGCTCGGAGAGGAAGAAGAGTGCGCCAGAAAGATAAGGTGGCAGGAAGATGAAGAACAGGCCTGGAGCCATGTAGTGGCCCAATAAGGAAGCAGAAGGGAGGCTCAGCAGGGGCAAAAGAAGATGGAGAGGCCAAAAAAGTCCCTAGCAGCACCCGCTGCTCCAGTCCTACCCCTGGGCTTGCACGCCAGCCAGGACACGTGTGTCTGGGGTGGGGGGGCACCAGGGGTCCCCAGCCCTGCAATGAGCCCCGGAGCAGGGGTGGGATGGTCGATGGGGTCTGCAGAGCAGGACCTCCCCAGCCTTGGTGGCAGCTCCTCTGTCCCCAGGGAAGACCTGGAGCTGAGCCCCCCAGCTCAGGCTCCTTTGGGGCACTGGGAGGGCTCATGCTGGGGCTCTCCACCCCAGAGGGGGTGGGCAGGGCCAGATCCCACCCCCCCCACCAGCTCCAGGCAAGGGAAACAGGCACCATCATCCCTTTGGGAACCTTTATTTCCAGCGTGCTGCTGGCTCTGCCCAGCAAACCCCCGTCCTAGTGTTACAGGCGCTGCAGCACGGGTGACCGACCGCGGCCAAAGTGCGAGTGATGTCCCCAAAAGCCAGGCACGGGGAGGGG